ACTACAAACAAGAGAACAAGGAAAATATTTAGGTGTAAAATTAAAATTTTAAGCTCCCTTAGATTTATAACTTCTTCATTAAATACGTCTGCAAACAGCAGCCCATAAAAACCTGTAGCAATTAAGTGGTTAAATGAACTGCCTCCCTTGTCAATTTTAAGGGAGTGATTAATATTAGATCGTCCCTTTACTAATTAGACTCTCCCGTGTCTTTCAGCTCTAAAGTCGGGTGAAAATGGAGGCTGTGTGCCCTACAAGGAAGCACGGGGGCTGATAAAGCTTCCCTCGCCGTGTGCTGAATTCTCAGCGTGGCGCCCACTGGAGGGAGGGCGAGCCTCGGGCTTCCTGTGGGAGGTGGGCGGGGGCTGGGGCCACTTCATCAAGGGGACTGCTTGCTCCTAGTTTTAAAAGGCTTGCAGGCTGTTATGCATGCGGCGTGAAATCCACAACCGAGGCCGCTGTCTCTTGGCCATCGCTCCTGGAGATGAGGACTGCAGGGGCGACACGGGACGGCCAGGGCCGCAGGGCAGGTGGGGGCGGTGGGTGGGGAGGAAGGACAGACGTAATGGTAAGGGGAACAGAGACACCGGGATTATTTTAGGGGCTGCTGCCTGGACTGTGGAGCTGGAGCGCTTCCCCCGGCTGTGATGGGGATCCATCAGATGGTGAAGTGGGTCAACTGCTTACAAGGGACATAAAGAGTGGCAGACACGGAGAATATTTATATGCCCATCTTCATAGAGAGAAGATGCTTCATCACAGGGACTGGATGCGAAATTACACTTTTCCTGACTCTTGAACAGAGACAACCTTTCGCCCCGGCAGCGGGCAGGACAGTAAGGGTTTTGATGGGTCACGGTCCCCGGGGGCCACCACCACTGTCCCGCTGCCGAGCCCCATAGGGGAGGGGCCCGGGCCAGAGAACCTTCCCATCGCTCCCAGCCATCACCTCCCATGGCTGAGGGGAGAGGAGCCAACACTCACTTTCTCATGCCTCGGACTAACTTACATGGCAGAGGCCCTGGTCCGAGCCGGGGACGGAGGTGGACGGCAGCGAATATGCCTGATGGATGACAGGCTGGGCAGGAAGGAGGCTGGTGTCACCATGGGGCACCAGGAGAATTTCTTTAGGAACCACAGCCTCGTCCACGGTCAACACCCACAGCTGAGAGTGGCTCTGAGTCGTGCAAGGTTTCGTGTTTGTGAAGAAATCCCCCTCCCCCCCGAGCTGCTCGATGGCGTCTACACAGATTTTAATCACGACCTTAAACATGACCATCCTTGGGGGTCTTTCAGGAAACTTAACCAAGTGCTGCATACACTACGGCTGTTGGGCAAGTTGCTATGGATGCGGGAGCAGCAGCTGTTGGGACCAGGGCTCCGGTGGGGGGGTGGGGGGGTGGGGGGGTCATCAGGCCTGAGGAGGAGAAGCCAGGGGACTTGGCCAGAGTCCTGTCTACAAGGAAGATCTGGCATGTACCCCAGGTACCCACACTCGGAAACTGTCCTCTCCACCTGCCATGTTGCCTCCACCGTCTACACAGTCCACATACATCCCTGCAAACACCTGGTATCTATTTGCCCACCAAGGCAGCGGGTGGTCCACACTGCTAGCTGCACTGCCAGGTGGGCCTCATCCGTCTTCCTGTTGGCAGTGCCCAGTGTCACACTCTCCCTGAAGCTGGCCTGATGGGTGGGGGCAGTGCAGTGCCCACTCACAACTGGGGTGACACCTGGTCTCTCTCCATCTCTCACTGGGGCGATTCTCAGGTGTGCAAGCCAGGCTACACTGCGGGCCCCTGCTGTGGGGTGGTCCCTTCGGTGCCTAACCACCCAGCTCAAGGCTGACAGGGTGAGGGGTTCCTTCATGGAGTGAACTATCCCTGTGGCCAAATGATGGCGACAGGGCACAGGCTTACACCCAGAAACACCCCCCCAGGCAGAGCAGGGTATGTAAAATTAAAGTTGGCAGGAAAGCAGACCCGCCCCGGTTCTGGACAGACTGGACGATGTGTTGCTGTCAGGGACTGCACTTGAACTTCCTTTACGGCTGGGAGCGTCAAGCTCAGGTTTCTGCTGTAAACGCAGGCTGTGGAGAGCAAAGGACGGAACCACATGCCCAGCACAGAGCAGCCTGCGTGGATGCTGGCCTCTCCCTGCTGCTCACGAACCCAAAGGATCGAGGAGGTGTTCAGGATGGGCAGAGGGAGGCGGCTCCGGTCCAGTGTCTGCCCCGAACCCAACGGGTGTCTCCTGCTTTTTTGTGAGGAAGGGGTTTGGCTTACAAAAGTATGACAAAATAACACAATGAGCAAAGCCAAGTCCTCTGCCGGGCAGCCCCCAGGGTCAGCCAGACTTGCCAGGAATGGAGAGCTGCCACATCATCCTGACCAAAGGGACACCTAGCGACGCAGGCCCAGCTCTGGAGCCGAGAGCCGCTCTCCTTGGCCTCGGACTCCGTGAGCTGTGCTGAGTTCAGTGGCGAAAAGGAGCAAGTTCATGATTGTTTCTGGAGAGGATTCCCTGCTGCTGTTGCCGAAGCAGCCGCCCGTTCACCAGAGTGTGATATCAACATACTAATCACCGTGAAATGCGCGCGGATGGCCCGGTGAGGAACTTCTAAATCCTCAGATTAAATGAAAAAACTGCGGCATTCTTGACTATGGAGGTATTTGTGACGGTTTTACACCGTTTAAGATTTCCAACCTCCCCTGTTCCCCCCCATTTTAACTCCACTTTAATTTCCTTCAACACAGAACATAGACGAGTATTTCTAGTCCATCTAAACTTAAACAAGAAATCAAGCTCGGTCACCAGGTCACCAGGACGTCACCTCTCAGCCTATCTAGCGGCAGAGCGGTGCACCGTGCGGACTCGGGACGGATTTCCACTGCTCGCCCCCCTTCTGTCGACGGTCATAAGGGACAGTAATAATGAGCGTGACCGAGACCGTGGCGGCAGCATGCCCGGCACTGTGCTAAGCCCTGTACACGGCGTCTCGGTCAAACCCCGTAAGTTCTGTGAGTGAGGATTTTTACTACTCTCCCAATTTACAGGGGAGAAACTGGAGGTCCAGAACGGTAAGTGGCCTTGCTGAGATCCGAGCCCCGGGCGGCCAAGTCCAGAACTCTTCTTCCCCCACCGGCCTCTGCTCAGAGCGCCTGACATCAAGACAACACCTTCTAACACAACACACTTTTGGGTTGGGTTTTCATCCTCAGCATGAGATTTCAGGTTTCTGGTGGTTTCTGCCCCCTGCACGGAGCCTTACACGGGCCTCGCCTACTTCACCCTGTCCAGGTGACGCGCAGGCCCACCAGGCTCGGCTCGACCGGCCTCCCTTGTACCGGTGTCGCCATCAGCCCCTTCAAGGGATGTGGAGCCACTGACTTTAAGTCGTAAGCGGCAGGGTCTGGGGTATGACCGCTGGGTCTCAAGCTTCAGCAAGACCCTTCACCTGCAGAGTCTCAGTTTCTGCCCCCCGACACCCACCTGGTCCGCTGGGGTGGGGCCCGGTGGAAATGCAGGTAGAGCCCTGAGCTGAACGCGAGCACAGAGCAGGTGCTGAGATAAACGGGGCCATGGCTGCGGCCCAGGAGGCCCGACGCGGGAGAAAACACGGCACCGCATTCAGACGGCGGCCTCCTCGGTCCGGCGTGCACTGCCTCGGAGCCCTCAACCCGCGGTCCGCGCCCTTGTATCTGCATATATTCACAAAGTGTTCCTGAAACCCCCAGGACGTGCCTTCTCCTGTCATCCCAGCTTCACACGGGGGGGAGGGGTCTGTGCCACCTTGTCTGTGCTAAAGGACACAGGCCGTGCCCCCGCTTTACTCCTGCAGCCAGAGCGAGCCACCTTGAAAGGCCTCTGCACAGGCTCGCGGGAGCCACCCCACGCAGGGGCCCAGGTGAAGGCAGTTTGAGCAGGCGGCAGGCGGAACCATCTAGGTGCCTTGCTTCTGAGAAGGGTGTGCATGGACCCCCATGTGTATGTATCCCGTGTGGCGGCAGCCACTCTTTTCCCCAAGTTTGCTGCCCAACACCTGCCCCTCCCCCAATCTAGAGATGACAATCAGGTCGGTTTCTATGATTTACCGGAAATCAAAGACAAAGGGGGACTTTTTTGTCTTGTTTTGCCATGACAGCTTTAGAAATTTGTTGTACTACATTGATTCAATTTTCCTTGATTTCAGCCATCTTTCAATAATGCAACCTGCATCTGCTAGCTGGGCATCCAGAGAAAACCCCAAGGAACTCAGAATATTGAAATGGTTCTACCATTTCCATCTTGGAGACAAGTGTTCCTCTCAGAGGAGAGCCGGGTGCAAGCATGTGACTCTGCCTAACAACCGTCTACACGTAAGAGACGGCATGCACGCACACGCACGCACACGCACACACACGCCACACATGCACACACTCCAGGGCGTACGCACACGCTCCGGGGTTCTCTCTCTCTCTCTCAGACCGGCGAGTCAGACCCCTCTCTTTCCTCAGAGTGTCACATGTGCTGGGGTCTTGGATTTCTTTCTTTTTTGTTAGGAAAACATCCACACCACGTGGAACTGGGCTGCCGAACGGGGCCTGGCTTATCGGGCACGACGGAACGCGTCCTGATCCTTGCTCTGAGCCCGGAGGAGACTCCGCGGGTGTTCCCCCAATGGGCAGGAGGGGGAGAGACAAAGGAGACTCCGGGCCTCCACCCCAACCTCCACCTTTTGAAATGGGGGTGTTTGAAAACACTGCAGCAGAACTGTTTTATCTGTCACGTAAAACCTTCCGGCTTAGGGACCACAAGGAGGTGGCGGTCATATTTGACTTGAAGCAATAAACATATTAAAAGCGAATATTTTCCCCTAAGGAATAAATTTGAGTGGCACGGCAGTGTTTTCCTCGCAGAGGCCCCCCCGCCCCGCCGCGCCCACACCTAGAAACCACCCCCCCCATCCTGGGACCGCAGACCCAGGTCCCACCTGCCCCTACACTGGGGAGCTTGCTTACCTCTTTTTCAATTTCTGCCAGAGATTTGATGGTGATTCCCAAGAGATCAAAGGGCTGCATCTGCAAACACAGATCAAGTCACCCTTTTAAATGGCTGGAAAATGCTGTTTCACATTCACTTTTATGCACGACGACGGTGACACCTCAAACCCCCCTCCGCGCTCTGGCGTTTCCCCACCAGGACTTTAGTGGTCACGGGGTACGGGGACGAGCAACAGGAGCACACATTCTAGAAAACCTGGCCGACAACAGGGCTGGCCCCTGCTGTTGGGGACCCCTGCCTGGTGAGCTGCTAGCAGTGCTCAGGAAGGTCACAGCCCTCCTGAAAGACAGTGACTGGCACTGGTAACTTCTGCCTCGTTTCTCCCTGCCCGTTTGCTCCTTCCGCAGCTGGGGGGGCCAGAGGAGCTCCATCTATACAGTGGGATGGGGCTGAGGAATTCCTAGGAGGTAGGACAGTCCCTTTCTTGTCCGGGACTCCTTGCCATCCAGGGAAGGAGCTGCAGGCAGTTCTAGGTCTCTGGAAATGGAAAGGGAATGAGGCACCTGCCCATCAATTCTCATCTGAGAAATCGGTGGTGAAAACTGGGAACGCTGCATTTTATGGATGTTTCTAGAAGTTCACGAAGATGGGAGCTTTTTCTGAAGACACTGGCTTTTCAACAGACGGCATGAAAAATCAAATGCACGTGGTGACAAGAGTCAGGTGGAGGCCTGGGCTGAATGCACATGACAGGGGGTCAGGTCTCTGGGGCCCCTGCTCTGAGCCCCCTCTGGGCACACTGGCATTCTGTATTCCCGAGGGGCCGGCGACCAGCAAGTGAAACGGGAGTCTCAGACAAAACCCCAGGCCGTCGGGGTTCGGGACCACGGCCCAGCAGTGGCGCTTCCTCTCCTGCTCGGAGCAGCGTGGAGGGGTCCTCCTGGCTGGGCGCCAGGGGTGGGGAGAGCCGGTTAAAAGAGAGGAGCACAGGAGGTGCGCAGCAGCGGCCGGCCCAGGCCACCAGGCCTCGGGGACTTGCTGAGTCGGCAGCGCCAGGCGGCTGCGAGCTTGGGAGGGTGATCTTGGGACAGGGCCACCGAGTTCAGCACGGCTCCCGGGGCCGCACTGCCGGAAGCCACGGAACAGCCTGGCCGTCTCCCGCCGCCAGCCCGGGGGGCCAGAGCGGGGCTGCTTGCCCGCCATCCAGCAGAGTCCAGCTGTTGCAATCATCGGGCTCAAACTGCCCCACTAAACTTTCCCGACTGGAGCTGGTGCGCAGGACAGAACAGCCCCTCGGAGGGAGCGGGCGGGAGAGGCGCCAGCATCGCCATGGCAACGCGGCCAAGTGGCGTCGGCTGAAGTTACTCATGCTCCGCATGTCACGTCACGAGCATTTTTCAAGATTAAGCTGCTTACCAGAAGGGTTCAGAGGAGGCCTATTATATTTCATGAAAATGGAAACGACAGAGCAGGTCAAATCGCAAGCCGGGTGGTTTTAAGCTGGATCCAAGAAATACACTGGAGGATTTTTTAGCTGGTGCCCAAACTGGGGCCCTCGCACTTATTAGCGACTCAAAGCAAACTTCTGCAAAAAGGATTTAAAACCCCGAAACAAGTCTATCGAGCCTGCATGGACCAGGACCAGACCGTACAGTTGGGGGAGGGGCTCTGCACCGAGGTAGGGGGGGGCACCATCGGACAGGGTCCTGGGAGTGCCAGGTGGGGTGGGCTCCTCCCACAGCCTGGGATCGCCTGCAAGCCCAGCCAGCCCCCTCAGGTCCCCTGTCATCAGTGATAGCTCAGGGGCCCCGGCCGGTTGGCACGGATCATGGGGTCCCTGAGGGCCCTCAGCGAGTGGGACCCCACAGCTGCGGGCACACACACTGGCCCGCCCACACTGCCACTCGGAGGCCTCCCTCCAATTCAGAGCGGAGAGTGTGGTTGTCACAGAATCCGGCAACGACGATGAAAAGACTAGCCAGCCGTCTTTCTGCAAGATGTCGTCATGGTTAAATAAAAGAGAACAAAAATTAAGAAGCTGAACTAGGGGGCACGTGGGCGGCTCAGTCGGTTAAGCATCTGACTTCAGCTCGGGTCAAGATCTCACGGTTCGTGAGTTTAAGTCCCACATCGGGCTCTGTGCTATCCTGACCTTCGGACCCTCTGTCCCCCCTTCTCTCAAAAATAAACATTTTAAAAAATTTGTGACGTTGAACTTGGAAACCAAGAACATTCACAACTAGCCCAATTTATGGTCACATTTTGGGGGGGGGAAAGGCTGTCACGGTCAAATCTGGGTTTGTCCGCTAGTCTGTCTTGCTCTCTCCCCGCTCTCAGGCCTGCTCTCCCCTCACTCCTTGAGCACCTGCTGTGTGCAGCGTTAGTTGAAGGGGCCCAGAGAGGAAGCTGGGACAACGTGAGGGAGGGCGAGGGTGTGAGGCCCGCGAGGAAGGGCCTGCCTGATAAGCAGAGGGAGCGCGGGCTGGGGGCGGAAGGGCGGTCACGCACAATACTTACACTTTCTGGAACACAAGAAAACTTCTCTGAAATCATAAAAGGCACACCATCCATTGCTGTAAAAGAAGAGAGGAAATGGCATTGCAGACACCGTGATGCGCAGGGACTTGAGATGCTGACAAAGTGCAGACCGACACGGGCTCAGGTACCACCCTGCGCCCAGGACACACGCCCGGGTGCGGGACGGCCGACACCTCACACGTCCCCAGAGCACCACACGGAAGTGCAGACCAGAGCTGTGGGGGCAGAGAAGGGTCTAGAGGCCACCTGGGAGTCAGACCTCCCATCTGTAAGCAGCACCCAGGGGTGGCTAGTGGCAGGAACAGAGGCACAGGCAGGCGGGGAGGGGACAGAGGTGGCAGCGGGTGCATTTGTGGGACATTCTCTCAGCTGAGAGTGACCCCACACCCCAGGCTGCCGGGCCCACGGGAAAGGTCTAGGTTGGAGGAAAAGAGTGACTTTGGAGTCAGAAAGACTAGCTTCGAATCCTGCCTGTGGGTTTCGGGGAGCTTAAGTTACATTTAAGAGGAGGGTGGTGGGCCCGCCAGGAGGGGGGGGGTGTGCGGCGCGGCCACCGTGGTTCAGCTCCGTGCCCTGGGTCTGGGCTTCTCGGGGACCTGAGGCGCCAGTCTGCTTGCCTTCTTGGGACAGAACGGGAAGGGGTCCCCCGCAAATGGAACACACCGGGGTCTGTGGTGCGGTTCCCTTCCCACGGCCCTGCCTGCAAAGGTCCTGTGGCTGAGGACATGGAGAAGGTGCGGGGAGTGCGTTCCCTGGGTCTACACGGGGTTCCCTGGCACACAGGGGGCAATTTCTCTCAGTTCTAAGGGAGAAGAGTCACAGAGGCAGAGAGAAAAGCAGGAAGAAAATGGGGAAGTCTGGGACAAAGTCGGCAAGGTCTGAGCAGCACGAGGAGCCGCACGGCTCAGTCTACGCTACGTGCGGAGTTTATTTCAGGAAGAAAAGAACGAAGCCTTCTCTGGGAAGTCGGAGAAAGGAGACAGCACAGCTGGCCCAGCTGCCACACCTCCTCCAGGAGCCTCCTTTCTTTCTAAGGCTGCTGTCCAAGGCCTGCCCCCTGGTCCCCCCTCCCCCACCCCAGACAGAGACATCCATGGTTCGGGGTTGGGGGGGCCTTCTCCCACTGTGGGCCCTGCATGCCGGGGCTGCTTGGAGGAGCTCTGGCTAAGGGCCAGGAACAGTGTGACACTTCCCTGGAAAGGGGTGACGGGAAGAAGCCCACAGTAATCTTCCACAGTACGTCACACATTCAGACGTGACAGGTGACATCGGGGCACAGATGCACGCATGCTCATGTACAGTTGGGAAAATCCATCTGTGGACAGATGACCCTTGAAAGGCCATGTGCTTTCTAGAGAGGGGACAGGACGGGGTCCCACCCAAGATCCAAGAAGGCGCCATGATCCTCACCCAGCAATTGCCACCATCTTCCCAACTCCGGCTGTGAGCCAAGGTTCACCCCCCACGGCTCTCTGACCTCTGACCCCTAGCGCTCTGCTGCCTTCCCAGTGCCATGGAGATGGGTGGGCACTTGCCATCTTGTCACAGACTGGGTCCTGTTGCACAGGGGTAGCAAGCAGTGACTCAAGTCCTCTGGCCCTTCCATTAGGTACCAATGGAATTTTTGAGAACACGTCTGCCTCTTCCAGACCAGGACCTTTCATCATCAAGGTTTTGATGACCATTATCATGCTCTCCCTAAGTCTCCGATGCCCCGCCCCTGCCCCCGCCCTGCCGCAGCTCCTCCTGATCAGACTTGGGCCAGGGAGTGGGCGTGTGCGAGAAAGTTCAGTCAGACCCGCTCCTTCCCAGGCCTCCCTGCTCACTGGCCATCCCAAGTCAAGGTGAAAGCCACAGTCTACTTTGCCTCTCCTTTAAATTCCCCAAGCCCTCTGCTGTCCCCCACCAGGGCCACGTCACACTGCTTTCTGTACACACATCTGCACGCACACACCGGTTTCCATTTCTTTCCACCTGTTAGGCAGCAGGGCCCACGGCTGTGCGCCCTCTGCTCGCCCTCCACGCCCCCTGCAGAAGCACACTGGTCCGTCTGGTTAGTGGTCACGGCGAGCCCGCCTGCAGCACACATCCCCAGGCCGAGAAGCCCTGATAGTGCACTCCCTGGGCTTTCTGTTCTAAAGACCATATTAGCATGTGGGGGGCGGGGGAGCAGGTGAAGACTCCCCCTCACTGATGACAGTGCCTGCCATCTTAAGGTCTGTGCATTCTGAAGAGGAGACGGGGTGACCTGCAATGGCTTGATCACCCCCGGAAACAAGAGGCCTGGGGAGCAGCGGGAGCAGGGTCGAGGCAGGGAGGTCCCAAGCTGGAAGCTGCATCGGCTCCCCAAATGGGAGGATTCCCAAGGTGAGGGTCCTCACTGGCATGTAAGGGCCCGCGAGCCCATCACAGAATGCCCTCTCCCCTCCCCTCTCTCATGTCGGCCCCTGGCCGCCTTTCTGAGCATCCCCCACGAGGCAAGCCTTCCCAGAGGCGCTCCCCCTCCTCCAGGGGGGACCTGGCCAGGGCCACATCTCCTCTTCTGGCAGTCCACGTGTGAGTCCCCTCTGCATCCCCGCATCTCTAGCACAGGGCAGGACCAGAGGGGCTGGGTGGTTGGTCCCACAGTGCAGCCCCGTGGGTAGGGGCTCCGGCCCAGGGCACCTACCTAAGCCCCTGGGGGTTTCGTGAGCTGCTGACTTCCATCCACCCTGCTGGCTGGAGGGGATGAAAGCTACGAGTTTCTGGAAAAGTCCGGAGATCACCTCTAGGAACTAGGAAGATTTAAGCAGGGAGGAAGAGTATTTGGGGTTTTAAAAAAATTTTAGCACATTAGTAAAAATTCAGTAAATTTCGTTGAGGCGAAATTCACATAATATAAAATTAATCATTTTAGAGGTAACAATCAGCGGCATCTGGTCCATTCACGATGTTGAGCAGCCACCACCTGTCCCTTGTTCCAAAGCATGCCCCCCCAGAGTTACCCCCCAAGCACTCAGCACTTTCCCTCGACTCCCCCCAGGAGTGTGTTCTTATCTCTCCTTCCAACAGATGGTCATGTCTTTGAAAAGAAAGATCAAGAAAGAGAAGACTGGCTTTCTGGACCATGTTGGCCTGGCCCCCCGGAATGTCGTGTTCCTGCCTTGCGGTTTAGGATGACGGAGGGAAGGGCAGGTACACTCGCACACACGTGCACACACATGGCATTTCCAAAAGGCCCTGTCTTGGCATCTGAGACGGACTAGAGAAGGTGGGTAGGTCTCTGAGCTGCCCGGAGGGGAGTTTCTTTCAGAGGAGCCTCCTGTTCACCCTTAGGCCCTTCCCCCACCAGCCCTTCCCCAGGTGAAGACCTTACTCCCAGACCTGGAGAATGGGGGGATTTGTTGGGGCCAACGGCCAGGCCCCCACGTGAATATCAAGGTGTTTGATGAAGGCACAGCTTCTGTTCCTCAATTAGACTCAAAGGCAATGTCTTCACAGAGCCCATTTCTTGAGGAGGCTGAAGGCAGAAGACGGAAAGCGACATCTTTATGGGGCCACACTGAAGGCAGCCCTTATGGAGAGAAGAAAGGGAAGAAGCACCCCAAGACTGTGTGAGAAGAGGCAGCAGAGGAGATGGTGGAAAGGACCACTTAGACCCAGTCCGACCACCACAGGGAGCTGCCTGGTGAAGGGAGAGAGATGGGAACTTTGGAATAAATTTCCACTTTAGAGTTCATGACAGAAAGACGGGCACAGCCGGATGCCTCTCATGTTCTAGAAAACAGACCTTAACAGGCTTGGAGGAAAAAGAAAGCAAATTGATAGGATCCTATGGCCTGAGGCTCCTGGATGGAACTGGTGAGAAGAACAGGATGGCCTCCCCAGGAGCCCCTTAAAAGGGGAGCCAGTAAAACTTTGCTAAACAGTCTGCCAGCCAAATCGCATTTATTTAAAAAATCTAGTATATCAAAGATTAGAGTAGACTAGAAGAATGTGGGCTTTAGCAAAGTATTTGGCAAAATTTCTCACGTTACCTGTGTGGACAAGACAGATAATATGGCCAGACAATGTTAAGGGGAGGAGAATCCATAGCTACCTGGACTAGATGCTCAAGAAGCTGATTAATAGACTGATGTTGACCTCAACTGACCTCTCTGGAGGGTACCCAGGGAGTTATCAATTAGTTCAGTGAAGACATGCATAGTGGGCTTACCTAGGTTGTGGCTGATGGGGAGGTCTGGGAGAACAGTCTATAAACTGGATAACAGAGAGAAATCCAATAAAGATCTCAAAAAATTGGGATCCTGGGGTAAATTTAACAATGGAATTCACTAAATGCTAGTAAGTCCTGTACTTTAGGTCTAAAAAACCGACTCGATTAGATGGGATGAAAGATGTGGAATAACAACAGAAGATATGAAAAGAGACTTGTTTGTGGCTGAACAAGTCAGTGATGTGATCTGATATTTAACTAGGCGGGAGGGGTGCCATGGTTACGCTGTGACCGTCCTGGCGCCGGGTGAGGGAGCCGCCATCTTGGTCTGCTCTGGGCTTGAGTGTGAGTTCAGTGTGAGGACCCATCTCTCAGAGGGCCCTCCCAGGTGGCCTACAAGGCGTCCCAGGATGGTGAGGGCCCTGAAGTCAGACCACATGAGGAGAGGGAAGGAAACCACCAGGCCTGATGCTCCAGGAAGGCATCATCCTGTCCACTGTTGTTCGCCATCTAGAACCCAGCGCTGTGCCAGCACAGGGGAAGTGCAGAAAGATGGGGCTCCTGGTCCACAGAAGATGAAGGTGGTTGTAATCAAATGTCTGCACATATTTTCAGAGCTGCCGCAGGGCGAGGGCTAGAGGGGCGGGGTGTGGATGGAAGGAAGAAACAGCAGAGCTGGTGACCAGGGTCCAGGCAGAGGCCGGTGCTGGGGGGCAAGGGAGGGACTTCGTGTGTTGGGTAGAAAGCTGATCCGTGGGACTGCTGAATCCCCTTCTAATTCCATAACATCCATTTCTACTCTTTATCTGGGCAGCCATTCCATATTTTAAAATATCTAGA